CAGAACAAAACAATTTTAATGACAGAGCATCAGGCAGAGCCAAAAAATTAATTTACTTAATCTATTTATTTATTTAAAGTTTTTGGCCGGGGCTGGGTTTGAACCGGCCACCTCTGGCATATGGGGCCGGCGCCCTACTCCTTTGAGCCACAGGCGCCACCCTAATTTAGATATTTTTTTTAATTCATAAAGACATTCTTTGCTTTTTTGAGTCCTATGTGATGAATAAAACTATATATAATTTTACTTAATTTTAAAGATCACAGACTTACATGAATGAAAAATTGTCCATAGGGTGGTGCCTGTGGCTCAGTGGATAGGGCGCCAGCTCCATATACCGAGAGTGGCAGGTTCAAACCCAGCCCCGACTGAACTGCAACAAGAAAATAGCTAAAATTATGTATGACACTATAATGGTAGATACATGTCATTATATATTTGTCATAACCCGTAGAACGTACAATACCAAGAATAAGCCCCTACAGTAAACTATGAACTTTAAGTGATAATGGGTCTGTGTAGGTTCTAAGACCCAACTAATGTAGCACTCTGATGTAGGATGTTCATAGTTGAGGAGATTATATGTATGTTGGGTTACTTTCTTACATCGATATGGAATATTACCATCCCTGTAGAAAATGCGATTTGGAAGTACTCTTCTAAAATGTTAATCATTAAGCAAGCCTTTTTACAAAGTCTAAGTATGCCACTGAAAGGAACCATCACCTCTTATGCTGCATTATTTCCAAGTTTTGAATACTTTGTATTCATTTTCTTTTTTTTGAGACAAGAGTCTTAACTATGTTCCCCTCTTTAGAGTTCTGTAGCGTCACAGCTCACAGCAATGTCAAACTCTTGGGCTTAAGCGATTCTCTTGCCTCAGCCTCCCTAGTAGCTGGGATTACAGGTGCCCATTACAATGCCCGGCTTTGTCACCCTTGGTAGAGTGCTGTGGCATCACAGCTCACAGCAACCTCAAACTCTTGGGCTTAAGCGATTCTCTTGCCTCAGCCTCCCTAGTAGCTGGGATTACAGGTGCCCATTACAATGCCTAGCTTTTTTTTTTTTTTTTTTTTGGTTGCAGTTGTCACTGTTGTTTGCCTGGCCTGGGCTGGGTTTGAACCCAATGGCCCCGGTGTGTGTGGCCGGCACCCTACCCACTGAGCGACAGGCACTGCCCAATTTATTTCTTTTTTCTTTTGAGACAGAGTCTCACTCTGTTGCCCAGGCCAGAGTATCATGCCCTCAGCCTACCTCACTGCTATCTCAGACCCCTGGGTAGGCAGGCTAATTCTCCTGCCTCAGTCTCCTGAGTAATTGGGACTACTGCATCTGCCAAAACACCTTGCTATAATTTTTCTATTTTTAGTAGAGATGGGGTCCTACTCTGCCCAGGCTGTTCTGGAACCCGAGCTCAAGGGATCCTACCATCTCAGGCTCCGAGAGTGATATGGTTACAGGCGTGAGCCACCGTGTGGCTTAGAAATTGAATTCTTGGAACAAATGGTATTGTATAAAAACCAAATGTCACATGAGTTACCAATGGGCAATCTCCCTCTATTTCAGCCACCTTATTTTTATTATTATTTATTTATTTTTTAGACAGAGTCTCACTGTGTCACCCTCGGTAGAGTGCCATAGCACCATAGCTCACAGCAACCTCCAACTCTTGGGCTTAAGCGATTTTCTTGCCTCAGCCTCCCAAGTAGCTGGGAATACAGGTGCCCACCACAATGCCCTGGTCGTTTTCTGTTGCAATTGGCATTGTTGTTTTAGCTGGCCCAGGCCGAGTTCAAACCTGCCAGTCTCGGTGTATATGACTGGCACAGTAACCAATGTGTGACGGGTGCCGAGCCTCAGCCACCTTATTTT